ATATGTTTATTAATATCCTGATAACCGCTAAAGCCCGTAATTTACTCGAAATCGCCAAAAAATGATTCCGCCCGGGATCGAACCGGGTACCTTGGCCGTGTTAAGGCCATGTGATAACCAAATACACCACGGAACCGCTTACATAATTGTTATAATTCAACACCTCTATCGGACTATCACGTGCAGTCTCCCCCCGTTTTGGGATATCTCATCGATATGGAAACAACAACATACAATGATGCTCAATTGATTTCTTTAACGTGTTAATAAAACATCTTAATTAACACACTTTCCTGCCTCCTTCGTTGAAACCTGTTCTGTATTCTAACAACTTACTTTCGGCATTGTTTCAATGTGTTTGAATGCTCCATATGCAAAAAGTCGTATTCATTCTCGTATTTATTCCTGTATTGTTATAAAATCGTCCAACTCTGAACCACCCTAATAGATCTATATCACTATTAGTTATATCTATTGTGGTATCACACAGATCTTTACTGATCAGAGCTCTATGATCTGTCATAGATCAACCCTAAGTCTCAACATTATCTGCTCTCTTGATGTTTATTCTTTGCGGAGTAGAATATCAATCCAGACTTATTTGAAGAATGTTCCACTGTAATATAAAGAAACTCCATTCGGATATCTAGTTAATGTTTTCCATTCATTCATTTATTAGGGATTTTTGTTTCGCACGACAGTCTCAAACACTTTATCCATTTTTTGTTCCAGTTCCTTCAAGGTAGCTTGAACCTGAATGTAATTTTGCGCTGTTTCCATCACGGTGTGTCGAAGCTGCATTAATTCCCCTCCGATCGACTCTTTGTAGCAATAGATCAATCGACCACGTTCGAAGAGAATTGACAGCAAAGGGAATTTGTCCTGTTTGATCGTATCAATCAGCGGGTCCTTGATGTTCTCATAACTGTCACAGGAGGAGAATCCGGCAAAAGCAACTAGCCGAGGCACAATATCAACCAACTTGGTGCGCTTGATTTCTGCACTGGCACCAAGTATTGTAGCATCATCTCGTATTAATACTTTTAAACCAAGGTACGCCAGCTGAAGCTCCAGCTGTTCAGCTTTGTCGGAATACCATTTTAATCTCGTGGTAGCCTCAAAAACAGCCAAGAACGATGCTNACAGGAGGAGAATCCGGCAAAAGCAACTAGCCGAGGCACAATATCAACCAACTTGGTGCGCTTGATTTCTGCACTGGTACCAAGTATTGTTGCATCCTCTCGTATTAAAACTTTTAAACCAAGGTACGCCAGTTGAAGCTCCAGCTGTTCAGCTTTGTCGGAATACCATTTTAATCTCGTGGCAGCCTCAAAAACAGCCAAGAACGATGCTTCCTTCTTATATTCCAGTTTAGAGTCTTGATTCAACTCTTCCAATGACGGTGGCGGAGTAAGTTGATCCAGTGGATCCGTACAGTTTAGACTGTTCACTGCAGTTGTGAAATCAGATTCATGACCAATTGATACAAATTCTTCAGTTTGATTTCCATGAACACACCATCCAGCGGCTGGTTTCTCCAAGTAGAGTAAAGCATCAATCTCTTTTGAACAATTTCTTTTGAAATCGGGATATAAGGTCTTCACTATGCCAAGAGCAGCGGAGTCTGAAAGGCCAGCTCCTTTTTTGAGATAACCAATCTCTTCCTGATACCCAACATGAAAGAGACGGTACAAGTGCTTTTGAATATTGATTCGGGCCATATTCTCGAACGTTTCGGTCAGATCACTGTGTATTCTGCTGCTACCCTCATGTTGATTAAGGCCGGAAGTAAGTTTTGCCTTCTCCTTCATCAATAGGTCCTTCTCTTTTCGAAGGCCAGAGAGTTCAGCAGTGGCAGAATCAAGCAACGCTGCAGCACGAGTGATTTCACTGTCACCAACTGCCCTTTTCAACTGCTCCTTGCATTCTTTTACTTCATTCCTCGCTTCCACCATCACTTGCTCAATGGCTTCTATACTGGCGATAACTTGCTGCATTTGATCCATGCTTTCTTTGCAAAAGAAAAAAGTAATTGCGGAAGCCTGATTCGACAAAATGATAGGAACCAATCACAACGGGCGTCCGTCAAAGTAGGAGATTGAATGTATGGTTTCTGGAGCTGAGTACAAGAGAAAAGGCGAAGAATAGAAGTAACGCAAATTATTCTTAATAAAACGCAATGTGAGTTTATTCAATTGTTTCATCTTTGTAAAAGAATATTTCGTCAGTCTCAATGTTGGCGTTCTCAATGCAAACTTTCAAGTACTCGATGGCCTGCTTTTTCTGCAACAAGATTGTTCCATTCATCTCGAGCCTTTTTAAACCATCAATCATTCATCAGGTTGACGTTACGAAGGATTGAGTACAAAAATAGCACCCGAGGATGCTGCAAAGACGCCAAAGTAGGGGGCCATCTCAAGGTAAAAGGCCGTAAATTTGTTGCTATTGGAGAAAACTGCAGATCTCATAACTCGACTGATAAATAGGGTTCAAATAGTTTCAGGCAAACACCGCGCTCTAGTTTACTGTTATAACTCGTTAATATACAGACGCAACCTTGAAGCAGATACGAATATAAAAGTAGGAGAGAAAGATGCTCAATAAAGGAGGAATTCTAGGATATATTCCCTCTTAGGCCCAAGAGTTTTAATATAACATAACAATCCCCCGTTTTGGGATATCTCATCGATATGGAAACAACAACAAACAAACAATGATGCTCAATTGATTTCTTTAACGTGTTAATAAAACATCTTAATTAACACACTTCCTTGAATCCTTCGTTGAAACCTGTTCTGTATTCTAACAGAAAAATTTGTTATTGCTGGGTTTATAAAGACTAAGTCTAAACATGTTTCACCATGTTTCAAAAGATTTAAACACATTTACAAACTACTTCCTCGTTTATTTTCTCAAGAAGTATCCATGGAATTCTGCTTCTTGTCCTTGATAGCCTTTAGCAGAGCTTTGACACGATCACTGGACAACAATGCAATATTCGGATCCAAACCCAATTCCTGTAACAACGGTGCCAATTCTCCACTCATCAATGCAGCATCCAAACTCTGAACAGCCTGTTGAAACTGTGGACTTCTTATCAAATCCTGCAATTCCTGTTCAGAATGATCATGTCCTTCCGGCAGTAGTGGAAACAACTCAGAGCGCAACCTTGTATCACTCAAGACTGGTTTCAATAGATCAGGAGTTAAAACTTGTGATAATCTTGTCTGTTGGGAGGTAGCAGTTGAAGTAGAAGCAGCAGCAGCAGCAGCAGCAGCAGCTGTGTTACTGGAATTACCCTCTGCACCAAGAAAGCCTTGTTCCTGCAATAGTCTCATCAATTGTTCCTGCTCAGAGGAATTCATGCCACCTTCAGCTTGAGCACCTGACGCACCACCACTATTAATCAAATCATTAAACTTCTTTACAAGATCATCATCCTTAAACTCTTCTGATTCCTGTAACCAAAAGAACAAACGCTGTGCAGATGTCTTGAACTTTAGAACGTACGCTTTCCCAGTTGCACACTGTGGAATCTTTACAAACTCAGCCTCTTCAGGAAACACAATGAAATCATCTTCAACCTGCTCAGAATTCCTCTCTTTCCAGCAGACATGCAACAGGGAATCATCAGCTGATACTTTAACAAAGACTAAACCTTTGCGTTTATCAGCAGTCAACAAATTCCCAGAGGATCTCAACAACTTTCCAGCCTTAAATTCCAACAGATACGGTGACTTCTTCTTTTGATTTTTAGCAGTTTCGAATAGATTCCTAGCGACTTGTGACGAAGACATTTTTTAGGGAGCGAAAGAGAAAGAAAAAAAAGCACGACTGCGCAAAAGTTGTTTCAAAACAAAGGCCGAATCACAAACGCTCTCAAATCGATCGGATTTCGTCTGTCTGTCTGTCTGTCTGTGTGTGTGTGTCTGTCTTCTGTGTGTGTCTGTCTTCTGTCTGTCTTCTGTGTGTGTGTGAGTCTCTTTACAAACTCCAAAAGAAAACCCTCTTTTTTTTTGTAGCGTCGACGTTGCGGAGAAAGGGAAAGAAATAATTTTTTATTTTTCTATTTCTAAAGTTGTTGCAAAGTNAGCACGACTGCGCAAAAGTTGTTTCAAAACAAAGGCCGAATCACAAACGCTCTCAAATCGATCGGATTTCGTCTGTCTGTGTGTGTCTGTCTGTCTTCTGTGTGTGTGTGTGTGTGTGTCTGTGTGTGTGTGTGTGTGAGTCTCTTTACAAACTCCAAAAGAAAACCCTCTTTTTTTTGTAGCGTCGACGTTGCGGAGAAAGGGAAAGAAATAATTTTTTATTTTTCTATTTCTAAAGTTGTTGCAAAGTATTATTGGGAAACGAATGACTCGATCACTACCGAAAAGGTACTCAGCTTCAACCTCTACTTCAACTTCAACTTCAACCTCAGCCTCAACTTCTACTTCAACCTCAACTTTCTTTAATTCAATGTCAAGTTTCTCAAAATACATTCGCTTGCTTTTTGTCATTTACATAATTGTCTCATTGNTGGGAAACGAATGACTCGATCACTACCGAAAAGGTACTCAGCTTCAACCTCTACTTCAACTTCAACTTCAACCTCAACTTCTACTTCTGCTTCTACTTCAACCTCAACTTTCTTTAATTCAATGTCAAGTTTCTCAAAATACATTCGCTTGCTTTTTGTCATTTACATAATTGTCTCATTGATTTACACTCTTATGCATTTCTATTTAATGTTCTTTATGAAACAGAATACTTCTCTTGACGGTAGTGGTGGTGGTGGTGGTGGTGGTCTGGACTCTTTAGCTTCTTCTTCTTCTTCTTCCATGACAACTACGGATACACAGCGGATCATTGAAAAGATTGTTCTGACTACTAAAACTTCTACTGCTTCTGCTACAACGGTGGCGGAAAGTATTAATCATAATCTTCGACTATCGCATAATTTAATTTACTCAAAAATGTTTCAATACGCTCTTCAACCAACGCAAATAATTCCGCACTTTCTCAGAATGAAGGCTCAACCTGCTGCATCAGACATCACAATCACGACAATGATCACAATGGAACGACTGCCGGTGCTGGTGAAATTGGTGCGGAAGTATCAGGGCCCCGTCTCAGTTACTTTGCATATAAACT